CTTCGACTGGGTATGTGTGTGTGTGTACGAGCACCAACATGAAGAGACAGCATGCCGTTCCGCTTTTGCACTGGTAATGTGCTATAGTCAGTGGAGCTGTTCGTGATAACAGTGGCCATCGGTGCGACTTGTTCTAAGTACAACCGCTCCCCATGTGGTAAAGCATTGTTGAGACGTTGTCCATGGTCCAAATGCCACAAACCGCGGATGCACAGCTGTGCACCGTTTGGGTGCAGTGTGCTCGTGCTACCTGGGCCCGAGGTTCCAATAAGACGGATCGCAAAAGCTGTGGTGATATCCGCTTCGTTTGCAGTGGCTCATGTATGGGTAATGTTTGCAAAATTATGGTGCACGTCACATAAGACGTGTTAACGATTCCCGCCAGCGCCTGAGACTCTGAGCCTCAGATGTGTTTGCACGCCCGTCTTGACTCCCTCAACACCACATCAGACTCCTGCTGTGTCTCGTTGTTGCCTGTCGACACTCGGTGTAAAGTCTCCGTCACCCAGGAAATGGAAGCTGACACACCAGGGCTCGGTGCCGAGCCATCGCAGAAAAACGCCAGCAAATCCCCCGACGATCAAGTTCAGGACAAAGCTTTCCAGATCTTGGAGGGTTTGGGCAGTCTAGTTGCGGAGCTATTCAGGGTTCGCAGTCTACAGCTCAGAAGGTGTTGGTCATGACGCTTTGGAAGCACCGGCGGAGCACATGCAAAGAGTTCCCCCCCACCTTTCACTATTGTACTTGTAGCTTTGCTGCTGACATTCCTCCCTCTGCACCTCCTCGCAGGATGCCCTGGAGTCCATCCTGTCCAAGAAAAATCTGGTCCGAGACCAGTTCTTGGCAAGCAAGATGAACCCACAGATGTGCGCTGGGGCTTCGCACGTTGGGAACGGAAGCTGAGCCACTCGGACATAAAAAGTAAGGCTTGGTTCCTGAAGGTACATCCCCATCGCCGTGCTGCTTGTGCACCATCGTTTACAAGCTCTTGGTGCGACTCATGACCAGGCTGGATGGATTTCGCTAAACGCCAAATCCTAAGCCGCAGAGCTTCAAAGGTGGCAGCTGCAGCTGCAAAATCCAAGCGCCTGGGTGTGGACGACCAGAGAACCATGGCCAGCCACCACAGAGCAGTCAGTGGATTTGCCATTGATGTTGTGTTGCTGGCGCGGAAGGAAGTGAGAGTTTGATCGACTAAGGTGCGGCCTGTGCTCAAGTCCAAGCGAAATGTTGTCATCCTCCGTGATCTGCCAGAGGGGACAACAGAGGACCTGCACCGTTGTGACACAGGTCGTGCTCACTTCCGAACGGCCGGTTCCTTCTGTCCGTGGCATCGTTTGGAGGAAGAGATCATGCAGCTTCTGGCATCCGGGCCGTATGCCGAAAACGTTGTTAGTGTCAAGCCCGAGGCCAGCGACGTGTGTTGTTCGACTTAGGTCCTGTCACAAGTTAGGTCGCTGTTGGCAGGTGAACAACACCTGGTTTGTGAAATTCAACGTGGACGATGGTGCGCAAGACGTAGTTCTCTGGCTTCGTTCGCAGTCCTTCAAGGTCGGTGCCTAAGTGTTCATCACTTGTGTTGCCATTCGCTCTGCAAACTCCTTGCAAGGGGAAGCCGCTGAATGCTGCCATCAAGTCCGAGCACTTTCTCCGCAGCTTCTTCCCCGTGAATGCGAACTTGGGCTTCGTGCCTCCAGGGCTCCACTGGCTCGTGCTCGTTCCAACCCCATCCTAGATCTCCGAAAGCTTCGATTACGGCTGCAAGCCTATTGTTCCAATTGCAGACGTTCTTATGAACGTCATTCTGTCACGTGTCGTTCATGCTGTCGCTTAGCCAGCGCCTTGAATTGACCGGCTGCGAGAGCACAGGGTTGGCATGCTAAAGATGCCAGGCTGCCCCCAATGGAGCAGGCAGATGGCATGAACGGGCCGGACATGCTCCAAGGCTTCCCTTCAGTGTCTCGGTTAGCAGAGTGTCGTGTGTAGTATGTGGTGACCGTGCTGGTGGTAGTGTTTTGCGTGTACTGGTAGTGGCAGTGGTAGTGGTCGTGGAAGTAGTAGTGGCTGCTGGTCCTGTTGCCCTGCTACTGCTACTGCTGCTGCTGCTGCTGCTGCTCCTGGTGGTGGTACCCACTACCCCATACGCGATCGACTGTGACTACGACTACGACGACCAACACTACTGCCCGCCGATGCTGCTGCTGCTACTACTACTACCACCACCACCACCACCACGACTACTACTACTACTACTACTACTACGACTACTACGACAGCCAGTACTACTCCTAATGCTCCTGCTGCTGCCGCTGCAGCAGCGGGAGCCGGAGCCGTGGTGGTCGTGTCGGTCGCTGCAGAAGCGAAACTGTTGGGCGAGTCTTAGATCCGAGCCTAAGCCCTTTCGTCGCTCCGGAGCCGTCCCGAGGCCCAGTTCGGAGGGAAGGGCCTTGGATATGGCGGCCCAGATCTCCCACCTCCGGGGATGCTTCGCGCCCAGCTTCAGACTTTAGGATTTTGCAGCCGGCGCAGGGGTTTTCAGGTGAAAAGGTGAAGATCGGTAAAGATCTTCAACGGATGACTTTCAGAAGTGTAGCAGGGGTGCTGTGCCCATCTAACGGTCTTGCACGGCTTTATGACTGTCTTCAGCCTCGTTGAGGTGAAAGATACAGGAGTGAATCGAGTGTTTGCTACCTACATCACTGCATGGCAGGGGCCATCCGCTAGGGATGATGATGCCACCGGAGGCGGTGCGGGATTACCGGTCCTCAGGGATCAGGAGATACTTGTCTGGAGATTCCGGGCCTTCGCGGGCTTCGTCTGCAGCATTTCTAGGATTTCAAGACTTCAAGCTGGGACTTGGGGTTGGGGTAGCGCGATTTTTCACATTGACGTGCACACGTTGATGTGCACACAAAGCTCAACCTCAACGGCGCGCAAGCTGCTGAAGTTTGAGCTAACGACCTTCTTGGCAAGTCTACAAACTCCAAAGGCATGCCCGAGTCTGAGCTATGCCTAGTCTGTTCAGCAGGGTTCCCTCGCATAGTAGTTGGTGAAGTAAGTGCGAGACCGGCTGACCAACCCTGGTTGGTCCCTGCATCCACCACATGGGCCACCCAAGATTTCTTTGTTGGCGTGCGAGGTGCCTTTCATGCAGCCGTTGCAGTACGGGCTGCAGGGCCCAGGCTCAGTCTTTGGTTCAGTGCAGTTTTGAGTCCGGAACGGTCTCTTGTGATGCTTTATGGAAGCTCCATGCATCACTGCCTCAACTCTGGTTTGGGAGATTTGAAAAGGTGTGATTCCGACGGATCCGAAACTCATTCGCTGTTGATCAGGCTTCTGGAAGCCGTGGGGATCTCGCTTCAAGCAGCCTCCACTCGTTCTGCCTGCCAACGGTCTAGAGGCGCTGAGTCTGCGGACCAGGACTTGTTCTTGTTGGTCAAGACACGAGAGCACATGCACAGTGTCGTTCTGTCGCTTGTCGCGCCGTCGTGGCGTTCTCAACGTATGGTAGCCATTGCTTCATGCTACAAGCTAGCATGAACCAGACGCTAGCAGTAGCAATCGCGGGAAGATGACGACGACAACGGCGGCAACGACGAGTACTGGACCTGTGCGTCTACTTTGACTACTACGACGATGACGCTGACGATGACAACTAGACTACCATTACAGACTCTTGTCACTTTTGTACTTGCCTGGGATGTTGCATACAATATTGCCAGCCGGGGAGCAATGTTAATAACAGGAATACGCAGGAATATCAGTAGTTGTACCGGAAGGACGGCTAAGACTAGCAAAAGAGACCTTTGCGGCACACAGCCTGCATCCCCCAAAGTGTCTTGTCATCACGCTTGTAGGCAATCAGACGACCGGATGGCTGGGGGGAGCAAGGTAAGTCCAGAGCCCCAGGCTTTTGGCTGGCCGAACATTCAGGGGTGCAAGCGAAGTGAATGAGTTCGGGCGTATTTACGAGTTTGGGGGTTTCGGTGCTGAGGTGCAAAGGTGTAGTGGTTGATTCGGTGAGGGAGTGGGATCTCGGTCCTTCATGCAGGTGCTGGGCAAGGGTGCGGGCTGTTCCTCCTTGGGCATGTCGAAGTAGTGTTTGAGGGGATGCTGAAGACTGCATGGTCGGCGCAGCCAGATGGCAACTGCGTGCTGAGTCGATTTCAGCGCACATTCGGAGCAAGTAGGCGTGGTGTTTGCAGTCAGAGGTCCGAGGTCGGATGTTTGCACGATTCATAAGTTTATTCGCAAGGTATCTCGATGTCGCGCTTGTTTGCAGAGCTTGTAACACCAAGGGGGAAGAGCAAAGGGAAAGAAGAGCAAGGCCAGCTTGCTGTCTTGTATTTCAGTGTTTTCGTTTGTGTTGGATGGAAGAGTCAACATTTTCCAAACCGTCGGTTGTCCACGGGGTTTGGTATCAAAGCTCTGTGCAGAGCGCATCTCGAGCCAGGCAAGGGCAAGGCGAAGACAGGCAAGGTCCCGGGAAAGCCAGTGCCTCGGAGCTTTGCATAAGAGACGACGAAGGAAGCGCAATCACTGCAAGAGATACCAGAGTGTTGACAACCTAAGCATGGCACATGTTGTCGACTGTCCTGCCCTGGAGTCCGGCTACCCACCGGCAGGGCTGAGGGCGATCCGATTGTGCCAGGAGCACTGGAAAGTGGAGCGACGAGTATGTCGAGGAGCCTTAGCTTAGGAACTTAAAGGGGAGAAGCAGCGCTCATTGCGGCTCTGTGGGTTGCGAAACTTTTGAGGGTTGTCAAGCCAGCTCTGGCATTATCTCGAACTCAGGCTCCTCGTTGAGCGCATTGATCAATTTCAGGAGCTCCCGCAGGGCAAGTTCGGCAAGGGGGGCAAGGCGGTGCAGGCTCAGGCTGGGGCGATCCCTCGCTCGAAAGCCCTAGAAACCTGCCGTGCTGCTCCGCATCCATAAAATTCACAGGGAGATCCATGTAGTGGCTGTCCGGTTCTGTCAACCCTAGTCACGAACCACGCTCCGACAAGACAAGACGCAATCTTCCTGACCAGAGGCCCCCAGGCCACCCCCGCCGAGCTCCTGGCAAGATGAGCCCCTGCCGTGGCAGGCGCGGCTTCGTGCAGCTTAGGATGCTATGGACGTGAGGGTTGCAAGGATTTGGGCGTAGGTTGAGGCTTGCGCATTTCGGTTTGGGCAGGGGTCGCTGCAGAGTTTGGCGCCTGTTACGCCGTGGTCTTGGAAGTACACCGCGGCGTTTCATCCTTGCGCCTCGTTCTCGACATGAATCCACCCCACCCACCAAGCGCTGTACCCTTTCAGGGTTTCGCTTTCATGACCCTCTGCTGTCCCTAGTCTTGTTTCAGGGTGTGTTGAAGCGGCAGCCATGCGCACTGCCCAAGATTTGACAGAAACGTAGCTTCATCTCCAACCCAGTCATTTGCGACTTGGGATTTGGATCTTAATCGATCCAGAGATGTTCATCCATGCTTGAACAGCGTGACATCTGGGAAGAAAGCAAGAAAGAAACAGCGAAAGCAATAAAGAAAAGAACACAGACATACAACAACGAGTAGAGCAATGATTGACGAGAGCAAGGACTACGGAGAGGGTGCAATAAAAGCATAATTGCCGACGTAGGAAACAAACGAAGCAAAGAAGAGAGCACGAACGAAAGAAAGAAGCACACAAATAATGCAATGAAAGACTTACAGAACGAAGGAAAGTAATGACGAAAGACACGAATTAACAAGCAAAGAAAGCAGGAAATAACTGCAGGACAAAAAACAAACGAAAGAGTTGAAAGAACGAAAGAATGACACGAAGGCCCAGCTCGTGGGCTCAAGGCATGTTTGACGTACTTCGACCACTTCTTGGGCTTCTGTTTAGGGTTTAGGGCTTAGGCTCCCCTCACAGTGGTGACTCGTTGGCAGTTCTCGAACCCATCTGAAAAACGAGAGAATCCGTGGTTGCCAATGTGCACGCTTTGTTTTGCGATCCTGGACAACCGTTTGGAACGCTGCCACAAGAAGTGTTTCGGGGAGATGGGTGTTGGTGTAGGACGAGGGTTTCCGCAGATTAGGATTTCGATTCGATTTAAGACAATCTTCGCAGGAGTTGTTTTTCAAGTCTGCTTCAACCGTTGTTTCGCATTGTTGTATTCAGAATTGTTGGTGTGACGAGCTTTTGCAGGCGTTATGTCTGTACTTTCAGGTGAATGTATTTGGGGATGTGTGTTTCGTTCGTCTTTTGCAGCGTGTGTTGCCTCGGGGTTTAGGCAACGCCTTCAAAACATGGCTCGTGCTTGAGGAGTGGTAAGTGCAGGGGTTCCAGCTTCGATGCTGTGATTTCGGTTGGAAGAAACCCACAAGATCTCCCTTTGAGGCCGCAGGGCGGGCAGCTCCTGTCGTCGCCCCTCCGGGGGCTGATGCGGTACCTGGTGACGAAGAAGGCAGAAGGCGGCCGCGGATCCGAAAGCCGTGCGTTTGCCTGTAACCGTGCAGTGATGGGTCTGGAGGCTTGCAGTAGAGGTTTAGCATAATTTTCTTGAAATCCGGCATGTGACTCAAGCTCACACCGGGACAGGAAAGGCGGAGCTGATGGCAAGGCCCCAAAGATGAAATGGGCGCCGCTCTCAGCAAAGTGGCATTTCCACCTGCGGTATGATGACTTGTGATCCTCTGCAACTTCCTGCACTATGCACTGAGGCTGTCAAAAGCCAGGCCAAAAGACTGACTGGGTCAGAGCGGGGTTCTTGCTACAGTAGCCATGTGCCAGCAACCGCCAGTTTCCTTCTGAATGTTTTGGTACGGGCAGCTGCACGAATGCCCGGCATCTCCATGATAGGGGTTTTCCATGACTCCGCTTGAACAAGAGGGACGGACGAAAGCATGCTGCGCAAGGCATAACGTTCTTCCTCCTGAGCCTTGTGAGGCCAGCAGACTGCTCGATACTTCGAGTTTCCAGAAGACATGCTTGTTGTTCAACGGCATATCTCGGTATGAGGAGTGGGCTCGCAGACCTCAGGCGTGCTGTTTACGAATCTCCGTTGCACAGTCGAAGCCTCAGGTGAAGGGCTGGTAAGTTGTATTGCTTTATTCTCGAGGTTTAGCAAATCGCATCAGTGTTCATAGAGATTCGAGCAAATGCATGTCGATGTGATCCGAGCGTTGAATGTGCGGCCCAGGTACTCTGCCGCTTGCATGAGTACGTCAGTCTCACCTGGAGCCTGCTATGTCCATGTAGCAGTTGCGTTAGTCAGTAGATGTGTTCCTCATTGTAGGGCATCTGTGGCTGATGACATGGACGTGTCTCACTGGTTGCACTCAAGGATTGCCAATCTGTTCCATCAAGTAGGACTTCTTTGTTGAGGCATGCCCAGATGAAGAACCCAAGCTACAGAGAGCCTGTACACTACCGGAATGCAACGGGCCGTAATCCGACGTGAAAAGGTCTCAGCAGCAAAGCATTTTTGATGACTGACGTGTATTGGCGTCTTCGGCCGCTCTGGGTCACTTGAAGCTTGCGTCAATCCCTATGTAGGACCTTACGTGTATGTGCGCCAGTTGAAAAGGTCTGTGGGTCGACATTTCGGCTTGTTTTCGGGTCGCAAGCACTGTTGACGGTTTGGCGCAACCGCCGCGGTCTCATGGCAGTCTTGTGCCTTGACCTGCCTTCTCTTTCGTCTTTTGAGGTCCAGAACCTGCGGCTGGCCTAGAGAGCTGCGCCCAGCAGGAGAGCTTTGCCAGATGACTGAAGAAGTGTTGGCCTCGGCGGTAGGCAGACTGTTGTTCATGAAATTTGTTCTCGGTGTGTGTGTGTGTATGTATGTATGTATGTATGTATGTATGTATGTATGTATGTATGTATGTGTGTGTGTGCGTGTGTGCGTGCGTGCCACAAGCTCCAGGGCGAGAACGGAGACACGGCAGAGGTCGAGAAGCCGACCGATGTTGAGGCTGCAGAAGTCGTGGAGGCACAATGCCTTGTTCGGCGCCGATCCAGGCTCCCTGGTGGATCCGATACCCATTTTGAGGACCTTGACGCCGTCAAAGAGGATCCGAAGCCAAAGCGCCAGCGGCGCAATCGATGGGGTCAGGCACCGTTCATGCCACATGAATTGGCTCAACATCATGGAGGCGAGAATTGTTTTCCTTGACAGGAACCAGAAGCACCCCCTATGCCGAGCGCTGATGACCTGGCACTTGCACCATTGATGAGCAACTCCCAAATGTTTGTGAGGCCAAACTTGCACCCTGCACCTGAGTTGCCGCCAGGCATGGACACCGCAGCTCTGGGTCTTCTGCCAGTGCAGCCTGGGATGCCGCCTTGCCATGTGTTGCCATATCTCTCTTGGCTTAAGTTCCGCCTTGTTCACGCTCTGCCATATCAGGGGAGCCACGCCTGGTGCCGGGGCATCGCTGGACAGAAGCGTTCCAGTGGCTCCGAGTGCCCTGTGACGTTTCAACTTGGTCTTTCGTTTTGACGTAGTGTCTTATACTGTGTGTGGCAATACAGCTCGGATCGTTCATCTGACCGGAGGACTTGTCAGCTGCAGCACAAGCTGCTCGAGAAGCCCTTGAAAAGGCCTCTTCCGCCCCGAAGCAGCGTCTCTGAAAGCCCGTGTGTCCTAGTGCAGGCGAAAAGGGCGGCCATGTTCCAGCGTCAGATCCAAGAGCAGATGGCGAAAATCAAGGGCCAAGGCACAGACTACACTGTTCTGCCTTTGCACCTCGAAACTTACCCAACATAAATGCACAAGGCCTTGGTGGAGGCTTTATGGGTGCAGAAGCGCCGAAGGTGTGGAGCTCAGGCAACAACAGGCAACGCCCTGCTTGCAAGAAGGCTCACGAGAGGCGAGTCGCTGCGGATTCCTCGCAGGTATGTTTACATCGATTTTGGGGTCATTTCGAGCTTAAGTACGTCGTTCGAGCGTCGAGCTGTAGCCTCTGCAAGCATACTCGACACGGGGCGTGTAGCTTGTCGACATGATATCTTTGGGAGCAAGGACAGGTTGAAGGCACTTAGTGCAGTTCGTGCAACTGCGATGAAACCATGGCTTCAACTGCATGATGCAAGCAGGTATGAGCCCTAACATCCGAATATATCCGAATCAAGCGGGTGTGGTAGAAGCTCTGCTCGAGTTGCATGAGCAGCGGTTCTCGTTTCCGGAAGCCAGCGCCGAAGGACAAATTACTTCCAAGCTCTGCCGAGGCGAGAAAGCTGATCCTCGATGAATTCGGCCGTGAGCTGGACGAGGATGGACAGGTTGTTCCCATGAAGCCGCAGGCCAGCCGGGTTCAACGCTGAGGGTGCAGGGGATGGGCCTAACAATCGGCACTCATGGCTGCTGCTGGTCTGTGCAATGGGGCCACCAACCCAACCCCATCGGTCTGCTGCATTGTCTGATTGCCGGGAGGGCTGCTCCGACAACAGGAATGGACAACTGAAACAGAGGTGGTAAGAATTGTAGCTGCGACCGTAGTGGCAGTCGTCGCCGTTGCAGTCGTTGTCGTCGTCGTGGAGATGAAAAGGAACGCACTGAGGAGGTGTACAACATGATCGCTTGTGAAAGAGCACAGACTAAGCATGAAGCAAACACAACCTGAGTCCACTGTAGACCCACACGACGGCGACCGCTTGGTCTCGAAGCGAAAGCCGAAGCCCCGAAGCCCACAGCCACAACGTATTGAACCCGTTCAGCTTGCAAAGCCTGGAAACGATCCCACGACTGTAGGTCAGGATGTGCAAACGGTCGGCAAACATCCCAAACGCTGGAATAACACGCCGACCTTTTGAGCCGCCCTCATGCAGGTGGTCAGCACCCTCAAAGTGAACATCAACCGTGAGAAGGAGGCCAGGCTAAAGAAGATCCTGGGCCTGAAGAAGGAAGCGGCCCTGCTGCAGCTTTGTGTTTTCGAGTGTAAGGCTTCGGGTCAAGTGCTTTCGTTTCGGGTTAGCGCCCGTCGGTGCGAAACTATGGAGAAGGCTCCGGCTACAGTATCAAGAGTTTCAACTCCATGGCTCTGACCCCGCAGCTCGCGAGGACGGTGCCGGGGGTGAGAGCTCATACTTCGACTCGACCCTCAAGGTGAAGGCTGGCGAAAGAGGGTTTGAAACTCACAATAGATCTTCCAAGCAACATTCAGTGAATATCCGGAACCGGCCATCTGAGAAAGGAAAGATTCGAGCGGCAAAAGCGACGAAACTTCAGGCCAGCCTTGATGCAGTTCTTGTATCCGTCGCTCGTGATGCCTGAGGTTTGGGGGGCTTGAATGGACTGCGAGGTTTCTTGTGACAAGTTCCGTGTCAGGAGGCTTGGTGGAGGAGCATAGGCGGCATCTTACCAGGTCCATGTCGGGGATCCGGCGCGGCATGAACTCCAAGCCTGTGACATGCCCTCTGACCCGGATGGCAAAAGAAATGGAGATGCATTGTGACGTGGCATTGTGGTCGTGTGCCGCCAGGTTCATTGAGGAGGGTGAACTTGTGAAGAAGGAGCAGAAGATGATCAAGAAAGTTCAGGAGAAGGCCCTTCGACATCTTCCCGGACGAAGATTAAGGTGTGTGAAGATTAAGGTGTGCCTCTGACAGGCCCTGGGTATCGACAAGAAGGACGACAAGAAGAAGAAGGAGGAGGAGCAAAAGAAGCAGGAGAAGAAGCAGGAGGAGGAGGCCGGGACTGGTGACTCCGGCAGGCATTCGCCAGCTGGTGGCTACGCCTTCACACCTCCCATGTGACTGTCATTGCTGCTACGAGCCCTGCGAGCCACGCAGGAAAAGGAGCAACCGGTCAAAAAAATCGAGCCCAAAGTCATGAGGACCTTGAAACCCTTTGACCACGCGAAAAGGGCCAGTGAAACGTCATCCGCCTGGCAGGAGAGAACCCATCCCCGACGTCGAGTGGCTGCCGACTCGGCGAGTTCGCATGTTTTGCTGGTGCTGGGCGCCGCTCGTAGTTTTGTTCTTTAACGCAGCTCGTAGACCCGTGGAAAGTGTTGGCAGACTTGGATTGGTCGAGTCATAAATTAAAGTGTTTGGGAAACCTTGGGTTTTGGATGGCTGTTCTCAGCTCAGAAGCTCTAGCGTTGTTGCGTCAAGAGCTTGAGCCTGGGGCTGGAGGGCGTGAGAATGCCGACGGAAAACTCTCGCGAATCGAAGCAGAGCAGAACGCATCCCAGAGGTGGGACGCTCCCTTCCTCAAGGAAGATCAGTATGGCCAGAGGAGAACCTACACCGAGGCCGGCCGCGAACACTCCTCCAACATAGTCTTGGAGATCCCGTCATCTAGCATGTGTCGAAGACATCACAACACTGTAAGTTCCGTGGCAGGTGAATGTGGAGAGGATCACTCCATATGTGGAGCATCCGATCCCAATCAAGATCACCACGGAGAAGGAGGCTGGCAAACTATCGCCAACTGAAGTTGCCCGAAAGCTCTCCATGCCACTACCGGGCAACTAGCGATTCCAGACTTTCTGATGTCAATCAACCTTAAGCTCCAAGACTTGCTGGCTGTCAAACCGCGGTTCTGCAATTCAAACCTCAAGTGTCCCGCTCACAGACTCTTGCTGAGAAGCAGTATCAGATCAGAAATCACGCACGACGACGACGTCCACGACGACGACGTCCACGACGACGACGACGACGACGACGAAGACAACAACAACAACAACAACAACAAGAGCACCAAGAACTCCAAGGATAACAAAGAACACCAAGACGTCAATTTTTTCCAGGACCAAGACCACCAGCACCAAGACCACCGCCACCAACAACAACACCATTACCACCACCACCACCACCA